ATTATAAACGAGGCATTTGTTGCATCCAGTGGGGACATAATTACTGATTATAATGACTTATACTGTCTTTTTACGTATCGCGCTGCGTAAACATAAAACCATGTCTGCATTTGTGATCTGAGAAACAACAAACAAGCGCTACTCTACACTGCTCAAAACTCGTGTTTGAATCGTCAGTGGCAAATTCTTTCAATATAAAAAATGTACTTACACTCTGTGAGTCAGAAGCGCCAGACTGTCCTTGCAAAGTTGGAACTGCCGCACTTTATAGAACATTCTTTGAGCACAGACCCATTGTATGCTACTCTGCAGGTTCAGGAAACAGTCTTCCATAAAATGCGTCACACAGTGTCACACACAGAGGGCTAGAGTGAGCGGAGGCCGGCGGATTGAACGAAGGAGCGTCCGGAGGGCTTGCGGCAACCACATGTGACGACCCCGTTTTGTCTTTGCAACTTTACAGATCTTCTTTATGCACCAAGAGCTTGTAACACTCCAAAGAGAAAGGAAAAATGAAATCGCATCATATGACCCCTTTAAAAAAATCTTTTTGGGGCCCCTGTACGGTATATTCTTTAACAGCTGAAAATGAACATGCCAATGTTTAATTGAAAAGAGAAAATCATTCCTTAATTCTTTTCACGTTAAGTTACATATTTTTAAACAATGACTGAGTTTACATGCATAAGGGGCTGTTCACAAAGAACACCTTTTCATTGTTTTCTTTTATGTAAACGTGCACTTGACGGATATCCCTGACTGCTGTTCTCTTCTTTTTGCAGAGTCTTAAAAATGAAAAATGCAGTGTCCAGGTTAAAAGCTGTTCAACTTTTAAAACCCCACATCTAGACCTTGCATTGTTTTTCAGTCCACTGGTCTACATCTTACATTTTAACCATAAAAACAGGTTTTGTGTGCATGACATGATATTAATCAGAATTGTATTACTTTTTTTTACTTTTTTTACAAATAAAATAAAAATAAATGTGCAGTAGGACTTGACAAGTTATACATTTGTAACAGCCTCATGTCTTAATTTCTGTAATTAAATTACCATTTCTTATGCCCATCTCCAGTCAGAATGGTAGGAACAAAATGTGCAAGTCTGAACCATTCTGAAAGTATGCAGGAGTATTAGCTGTGAAGCTGAACCATATACACCATCTTTTTTAGAATATAATCCTAACTAAACTATTAAACTTACTCAGAAAGTGATACAGGCATGTGAACATAGATAATTATACAGGTAACACGTTGCGTATATACACCCGGAAGATCTACAAACCTATTGTTGGTTGTAAAAGTGTATCCATTGAACACATATAACATTTCCTCAGTGATAATTAAATTATGCTTACACACCTTTTATTACTGTTGTTTTCATTAATATTGTAAAATACTTATATTTTAAGCTTCTGCGCGCTTCACCATGCTGTCAAACACGACAACACACTGAACACAAAACGGCATCCTGCACTTATGAACAGTCAGAACGGAAGATATTACAAAACAATATTCATTGACTATTGTTTTATAAGTAATTCATCTCTATATGGTCGCTGAAACCAACCAGCGCGAGCTAACGTTACGTTACACGTTAAGGAAGTTAACAACACGTTGTTCAGGTTAAGTTAACGTTAGCTCTTAAAACATTTGATTTCAAATTTCACGATTTCCCGTCAAATTTCATAATTTCCATATTACTTGACTTCAAAGCTAAGAATAAGTTCTCCTCAATAGGATGAAAAGATAAGAAAACATCTCTGACTCCATTCACATCCACTGCTGTTAGCTTATGTGGTTTTAGCGGTAACACACGCGCCTCTGCTATAGCACTCACCCTGCTAACACTACCAACTGATGGAGTGTGAAATATCAAGTTTAAGTGATCTACTCATCAGATCTCACCTGTACTTAGTGAAGAGATGTGGATCATGTGCGTGGATGAGCGGACGTGGAGCTGTGAAAGAGAGGAGGAGACTCGTGATGACATCGCCTAGCAGCCTTCCCCTCACTAACATGAGCTCCACCACCTTCTTCTCCACCAGCCCAAATGCTGTTGACTGGTAAATGCCTGGGGTGTTGTTGTTTAAGGACTGGTTATTTCACATCATTTTATTTTTATTTATTTATTAATTTTTTTTGGTTGGGTGTTATTTCAATAAGTAGCCTACTTAAAGAGATCATAGTCTTTCAACACGAACTTTTGGAATAGTTGCTAATGTAGTATTAGTCAGTAGGGAATGGCATGATTAGGACCCAGTATTGGTTTAGAGTTATGATATATTACTCATAAATTATGGTGTGTGTGTGTGTGTATGTATATATATATATATATATATATATGCTTTATATATGCTTTAATGTTTTTATTTGTTTCTATTGATTATTTATGGTATTGGTAATTAATTTTAAGATTTGTATGTCATAGAGAAGTCCATTTGTGTCAGAGAATTAATTGGTGTATTACTTACCTGGAATACTTGCCTGAGTTGTTTACCTAAGATACTGATGAGTTCATTCAGTTGTGTGGAAGAGTTAGACCATTTTTGGTCAGAATTAGACATATGGTCAGGGTTTTGGTCTTTATTTGTTTCTTTCTTAATTGATTGTCTGTGATTTGATTTAAGTATCTATATGTATTATTTATTTCAACGGACGGGCTTGGGGTGTGGGGTCCCCCTCTGCAAAAAACGCCTTCCAGGCCCGCCCTTGGAATCGTCCTAACGTTACCCCCCCTGCAATTATGCAGATATCATGTCAAGTTAAAGGGCCGTATGTTAAAGGGGTGGTTGATTGCGATTTCACTTTTTAACGTTAGTTTGTGTAATGTTGCTGTTTGAGCATAAACAATATCTGCAAAGTTACGAAGTTGAAAGTTCAATGCAAACGGAGATATCATCTTTTAAAATTATGGCAGTTTAATGCCTACAAAAACAGCTGGTAGGGACTACAGCTAGTTACTTCCCAGGTTCGTGACATCACAAACCCTGATAAACCCCACCCTGGGGAACATGCAAGGAAGGGGGTGAGGCCATGCTGCGCTGCTTTAGAGAAGAGGAAGAGAAAACTAGGGGTGCACGTAAAAATCTATTCATATATGAATCACGATTTTGTCTTCTAATGATTCTACAGAATTCACAAGTTTCAAAGTCAATGTTCTAAAGCAGCGGTTCTTAATACTTTTCCTTGCGTCGCCTGCTTGGCATCTCTATCTCTCTCTCTCTCTCTCTCGTTCAGATCATCAGCTCAGCTCTGTTCCACTTATTTTCACATAGCTATGA